CGATTTTTCTACTCCACTTAGAGATAGGCTCATAAGCAGCCTTAAATTTTCCTCTAATTTCGCCGGAAAAACAGTTTTGTACAACTTTAAGACATATCTTCGATACATTTTTTCATTTTTTTTCTCTGGCAAGATTAGGAGGAACTCTTTCTCCGTATCGAGCAACCTAGGCAACAATTTGCAGTTCAAATTAAATTAGGAAAAATCTGAGTGTATGAGAGTGTTAAGAGGAGTCTAGCGGCTTACTAGGCCTACAAAAGAGCTTTTGAAAAACGATTGCCTGTTATATATGAGCAACTCGCACGAGTTTTTTGAATGTTTATTTAGGCGAAAAAGAACGGAAATTACTCATTTTTTTTCATTTTCACTCGAAAAATTATAATTGTTTTTTTTTTTAATTTCAAATAAAATGATCATATTAGAGGCAGTGCACATTGGCATCAAATAGAACAAATCTGTGAAGTTTCAAGAGTGTGCCGTCAAATAAAAAACAGAAACTCGTGTAATTTGCTTATATAAGCAAGAGTCACTAAACTGATTATAACCCAGATATTCTTTTGGTAGGCCCTCAACAAAGATAACAATAAGAAAGTAATTAAAAAAGTGCAAAGATTTAGAGGGTTTTTTCTTGCAATTTCGGCACATTTTCTTTATGGTGTGGCCGCAAGAGCGCACTCAGATTTATGGAACGAAACTTATGAAAGCCATCGAACTTGGAGCAGTTTTCGACGAGAGAAGTAGGTGGCCTAGGCCCACCAGAGAGAGGTGATGATATATATGTACATGTATGTATGTATATCTTTTTACACCGATGGCGCCGGTCCAGTATATCATCGGAGCATTTGCAGTTCAGTAACCATTTTTTCTGTAGAAAGACAGCTGCACCATCCAAGCTAACTTTTCTATTCCAGATGAAACCAAATGCGGATCATAAGAGGAAAATAAATGAATACACCGGGGCTCTGACAAATGTCTTATAAACAATACAGGATGGTTGGGAGGTTGGCCATTATTCCCGCGGTCAAGGAGAAAAAACACACAAGAGCTTCTGCAACTCGACACGTTTGTGGTAAGTGTTCTACCAACGCGGCTATATTAAACACCAACGAGCTCCTTTTGCTAAAGCTGCCGTGATAAGAATGAAAGTGAATCACTTTATCGTTTCCAATTGCGATTTATGGGCTTGAGCTGCGACGAACGACATCTTTTGGGTACAGATCAATTCGGAATCGAAAATAGATCGGTAAGAAATAAATTCGCAGACTAGATACGGAAGCCATCTCTAACTACATCAGTGGATTCTAGTTTAACTTTGATATAAGGCCCGGGTTATATCCCGATGAATTTGGTGTCACTCAGAAACTACTCCAGGAAAACCTTGCAGTCATGCAGAATGACGGCACGCGTTAGTAGTAAAGCTAGCTCTGATAGACAGACAGCACTACATATTTATTAGATATAGGATCCACTGAAATTGAGTCTGAAATTTTGTTAAATTATGCAAGATAGAGCTAGGCTCACTAATTCAGACATTTCTCTTATAAAATATCTACCAAAGCAGGACCTTGTTTGTTTTGCCCTTTTTATTCCACCATTTTCCACCATATTTTATGATTTTTTATTTTTTTTGCTTCGGAAATCACATTTTTCCGCACACAAATACGATTACGAAATAGAACAGGAAATTCGGCATGCAACTCGCACCGCACACCTGCAACCTGTCATAAAGAGCGAGTGGCGCGCGGACACCATTGATAAAGTCGTGCAGCTCGGAAGAAGCAGCAAAAGCAGTTGAGGAAGAGGAAAAGATTTAGCGGAAGGCCCACCTGCTCGCCTTGCCGTCGGTGTTGGGTTTTGCTGCGTTGCATTAAGTGCAATTTAAGCGCATCATTATTACAGCAATTGCGCTGTGGAACAACAAAAGCACCAAAAATATCGGCAGCAGCGCCGACAACATGCGTCCGAGTAAGTGGCAACATTGCGCTTGAGTTGAGTTGATGCACAACTTGAGTGGCCACACGGCACACAGCGGCCAATTAGCAAAATTTTGCACGCATTTTTTGAAATTTTATCCAGCATTTATGTGACTACCAAAATAAGTGGCATTCCGTAGTTTGGTTGTTGTTGCTGTTGCTTCGTTTCTTTTTTTTTTTTTTTTGATTACCAACGCAGTTGCACTTAATTTTCGTGCTTCCAGTGGTAGTTATGTTCATATATGTTAGTATGTATGCATTGCTTCATTGTTGCAATTTTACGGTTGTCTTACTTAAACGTTGCTGTTGTTGTTGTTGTTGTGCCTTTTTTTTTGATAGCGCTTACCGCTGTGATGTAAGCTCAACTTTTATGACTTTTACGATTTTTGCATGACTCGTCATCAGCATCTTGATCCATCACAAAAACTCTTCTCCAGTCATGTGCAGTTAGCCATTTTGGGGGGAATTTTTGTGATGGATAGGAAAGTATCGCAGTATACAGTGTTTAAATTCTGAGCGAAAAGTGTGTCTAGTTACTTTTAGAATGATTTTGGAAACTCTCGAAGTACCTTTTACTTTGAAATTATTTTTTACGGAATAAAAAATTATAACTCACAAACTGGCTCAACTTCAGGTCGAAATTCGTAGGGTAATACATAAGTAAGTACTGTAGTCCATACCTGCTATGGAGGCATCTCACCAGTTGGCCAGAGAGGGTTCGGACCAGGTATTCCTCGGTCTGCAAACAGTTATAGCACTCGCACCTGCGGTCATCGAAGCTGCCTTCAGCAATTGGAAAAATATTTGGCTCAACTGTGACTAGGAGACTTCGTGGGGCTGCAGGTGGGCAAAGCTCATGTTGGGCTCAATTTAGAGGGCCTTGATAGGTATGTATTCGCTTTCGTTGAGCAGATGGCACTGCAGACAACTTTAGGGACTGTGGACTGGACACTTTACGTGGCACAATGGTACATATTTTATTATAAAAATAGCTATTTAACAATTATTTTCTGACTATTATTTAATTACTCCCTAAATAACAGTTATTTCTGATTTTTATTTTACAAATTTAAAATAACAATTGTTTTTTTATTTTTATTTATAAAAAAACACTGTGCGACAATTTTATGTCAATTCAAACCGGCTAATGTTTTCTGAAAGTATAGATATACAGTAATAAAACACTCAAAGGATTTGCAAAAGTTAGCTCGTATTTTTAATTTATGGCCTACTAAAATGTTCATGTCCCCGCCTAAGTAGTTTTCAAAAAAGTTGAAAAAATTATAAAAACAATTCTGAGCGAAATTAAAAGTTAAGACATTTATAATAAAGTTTCATGGGAAATATTATGCGTAGAAAATATTAACCCATTAGCTCCCGCCTGAAAGGGTCGTTTTGACCCCTACTTCAAGAAATCCCGCAAAAAGAAAATTTGGAAGTTCGTTAGAGGATTGATATATTCTAGAAGATTATTCTTCGGAAAAATCATGCCTGATTTACATATTAACATATTTTTTTTTCTTTTTTTTTAAGAAAAATGAACATTAAACATGATATAAAAACAATAAAATCATTATATTTTTATTAATAATAGCCAATTATTTTTCGATTGGGCAACCGCTTCAACTTCAACGAAATTTAAAAAAAGGGCTTTCAGGGACATAAACTAGTCTAACAAGAAAGAGGCGTTTCAGGCTAACCATCTCTGGTGAAAATTATTTTAAGTTCTTTGACTAAACCTACATACATACATACCACAACTCTAAAGAAAATTGAGCGACTAGTCTTACAAAAAAAAAGAATCCCAAAATAGTCTCGGCTTGGTTATTCTTGATATGCACGAACAAAGAAGAACAGCTCATTCCACGTTAAAGAAATCAAAAGTAGTATAAGTCACATATTTTTTTGCGCGCGATGCTGCAGTCTTCCCGAACTCCGCATTTTTTTTGCTGTAATACACTGTCACCGCCCGGTATGCGTATGTGCGCATAATTGAATTTTGAGTGGCTCGCGCATGCGCACGTCACACTCGATTGGAATTGTCATTTATTTCGTTTCGACTGATTAATATTACATATATTTTTTATTCGAAAAATTGTTTACATACTCTCGTACATTTCTGGTAGCAAGTTTGGCTGCTGCTACTTTATTGCATCAATTACGCCCCGCTCATGTGCAATTCAATGCAATTCGATACGGGCGCGAAAAATTACACATACATACATACATACATATGTATTTATCCACTGCTGTTGAGCATTCCCGCTCATATCACCAATTTTGGTAGTTGCAGTATTTTAACCAATACAGGTGGCATTCCCAGATTTAAAAAAAAAAACAGAAATTATTCACACATACATACATGCATGCGTATACATTTGAATACAGGTGGACGTTTACAGTCAGAAGGTGATGGCATGAAAAAGTGCATGATATACATATGTATGTGTAAAAACATTTGGGGTGTTGACGAGAGAGGGCCTGCCGGAAAGGGGCGATTATAAATTGCTGTGTTGCTGAACTGCAACCGCAGCATACCCATACAATTTTTCTTTTAAGTCATTTAGTTTTGCATGTGACTTTCCCACCCATCCGCTGCCCTTCTGGCTCAACTTGGACGAACATATTTTTGTAATTTCTCATTTTGTTTTTTGCGTATTTTTCTTATTTTTTACTTTATATTTTCACTTTGCACTCACCTGCAACATTAACTCTCGCAATTTACCCAAATCGTCGCCATGTGACCTTGTCGGCAGATAACGTCCCTCACATGGCTGCTGCTGCCACGCCAGCAACACCAACAACACCGGCAATAGCCAAAGGCCCAGACTGAGTGATGGCGCTGAGGCGACGCCAACAGCAGCACCGCCATTGCGGCGACATTTCACTTGAGTGCTGCTGCTGCTGCTGCTACTGCCGCTGCACATAGTTCCACTCTGTTTCTTGTTGTTGATTTTGTGTCTGTTGTTGTTGTTGTTGCTGCTGCTATGGCTGCTGTTGCGTCGAATTGCCAATTTTGCTGTTACCATTGTGTTGCGTGTGGCAAAAATTTCACTTTTATTTGAGTTGGTACTGGGGCTGGTGCTGGTACGTATCTGCGTTATTTCGGCGCTTGCCTTTTATTTGTTGCTAACTATTGCTGCTGCCGCTGCTCCTACTGGTGGACTATCGTCGTTGGCTTCCCTAAATGGCGCCGAATTTTTCCAACAATTAAATTGCTGCTTTTACTTGCTCGTTTATTGTTGTTTGTCTTTGTTTTGTTTCTTTGTGTATGCTCAACTGATGGAATTTTATATTTGTTACTCTGTTGCTCTTGGCCATTAATGCAAATTGTTGAAAATGTTGCGAAAAGCGGCATTGAAATTCAAATACGCCCAGCATGTAGGAGAAGAAAAATGTAGAAAAAATTAATAAATTAAATGTTATAAAATCTTCTTCATAAATGATACCGCTTAAATGCATACACATGTACGCGCTTTTACGTTTCTGTTTTTGGGACTTTTTAATGTATACTTATTTCTTTAGTTTATTATTATTATTATTATAAATGTTTATTTACATACGTATATACATAGGTTTTTCATATGTACTTAGTTCTTTTTTATTTCTGAATTTGTTTTTAATTTTTTACAACGCTTTTTTACAACGCTTTTATCAACTTGCAATGTTGTGTGTCCAGAAA